CATTTTTACTAAAGGGTTTTACATAGAACGTAATAGAACCCGCGATCTGGGGGATATAGAATCTCCCCCCAACATACGAGGGGTCACATTCATTTCCAGAAAACCCCCATGACAGTACTTCGGATTGCTGGGTGGTTTGTGATTTCTCCGGAAATTTTTATTGAACGCCCTTTTTCGCTGGGGGGGGGGGGGTATTCGATTTAGCCCTCAGGACTCTCATAGTAGTTTTTGGGGAGATTATCAGATCATCTTTTTATAAAGGGTTTTCATACAACCTAGAACCGGGGGTCTCGAATAACCCCCCCCCCTCCCCAAAATACGAGGGGTACATTGTCATTTCCAGAAAACCTCCATGATACTTCGGATTGCTGGGTGCTTTGGGATTTTCCGGAAATTTTTATTGAACCCCCTTCTTGGCGGGGGAGGGGGTATTCCATACCGCCCAAACTCCCCGGTGCTGCAGTCTCCCCTTACAAAATATTTAGCCCTCAAGACTCTCATAGTAGTCTTTGGGAAGTTTATCAGATCATCTTTTCCTAAATAGTTTTACATACAACGTAGAACCGGGGGGTCTGGGTGGTACGGAATACCCCCTTGTACATTGTCATGTCCAGAAGACCCTCAGAGAGTACTTTGGGTTGCTGATGGATCGTTTATGATTTTCCGGAAATGGTCATTGAACCTTCTTTTTTAACCCCCGGTGCTACGTTCTCCCCTAGAAAACGGCTCAGCGCGGGGGGGGGGGCGAGGAGGTATGGAATACCCTCCCAGTATACGAGGGGTACATTACGATCTCCAGAAAACCGCCATAATAGTACTTCAGGTTGCTGGGTGGTTCGTGTTTTTCCTGAAGTGGGAATTGAATCTTTTGCTGGACGGTATAAACCCCCCGATGCTCCCCTGCAAAACGTCTCTCAGGACTCTCATATTACTTTTTCGAAAGATTATCAGATCGTCTTTTCCTAAAAAGCGGGCGGGAAAATTGTGATTAAATCCTTTTTTTGCTGATCATTGAATCTTTTGGGCAGAAGGTGTGCGGGTGATATCAGATTTCACTCGCAGATTGTGTGCTGGTCACCACAATTTTTGTCGTATATTCTCCTGACACTAGAAATGAATTGTATCAGGGGCGCAGAAATTTAAAATCAACAAAATTCTTGTCACATGTCATTTGGTAAACTTTCGTTAAAAGAGAACTAATGGTATGAGGAAGGCGGAATCAGGGGCGCAGAAATTTAAATCGATTACAAATCACTCTCCTGTTAGGTATTTGCCTGGTACGATGTCTGTGAAGAACTACTAATCGCAGCAGGTGCGCTGAAGGGCGAACACACTTTTTTTCGTATATTCTGACACTAAAAAATAATTGTATCAGGAGGGCAAAAATGAAAATTTGTTTTTTCTGTAAGAATTGTATTAAGATCCCAGAAGTTAAAATCCAATAGGCAATACTTTTCTGTGAATATTCGCCTCTGCTTTGTACAATTTCGGTGAAAAAGAACTAATTGTATCCATGTGCTCTCCTTACACTAGAAATGAATTGTATCAGCAGCGCAGAAAGTTGAAATCAACCTGCAAATTCTTGTCAGTGAAGTATTCACTTGGAACAATTTTGTTAAAAGAGAACAAATAGGATTAGGAAGGCAGAATCAGGAGCGCAAAAATTAAAATCAGTTACAAATTACGCTTCTGTGAGGTATTTGCCTGATACGATGTCTGTGAAGAACTACTAATCGCAACAGGTGCGCTGAAGGGCGAACGCTCTTTTCTCGTATATTCTGACACTAAAAAAGAATTGTATCAGGAGAGCAAAAATTAAAATTGTTTTTTCTGTAAGAATTGTATCAAGATCCCAGAAGTTAAAATCCATTAGGCAATACTTTTCTGTGAATATTCGCCTCTGTTTTCTACAATTTCGGTGAAAAAGAACTAATTGTATCAATGTGTTCTCCTTACACTAGAAATGAATTGTATCAGGAGCGCAGAAATTTGAAATCAACTTGCAAATTCTTGTCAGTGAGGTATTCACTTGGAACAATTTTGTTAACAGAGAACAAATAGTATTAGAAAGGCAGAATCAGGAGCGCAAAAATTAAAATCAATTACAAATTACGCTTCTGTGAGGTATTTGCCTGATACGATGTCTGTGAAAAAGTACTAATTGTATCAGGAGCGCTGAAGGCGAACGCTGTTTTTTCGTATATTCTGACACTAAAAAAGAATTGTATCAGGAGCGCAAAAATTAAAATTGTTTTTTCTGTAAGAATTGTATCAAGATCCCAGAAGTTAAAATCCATTAGGAAATACTTTTCTATGAATATTCGCCTCTGTTTTCTATAATTTCGGTGAAAAAGAACTAATTGTATCCATGTGTTCTCCCTACACTAGAAATGAATTGTATCAGGAGCGCAGAAATTTGAAATCAACTTGCAAATTCTTGTCAGTGAAGTATTCATTTGGTACAATTTTGTTAAAAGAGAACTAATGGTATCAGGAAAGCGGAATCAGGAGCACAGAAATTTAAATCAATTACAAATTACTCTCCTGTTAGGTATTTGCCTGGTACGATGTCTGTGAAGAACTACTAATCGCAGCAGGCGCGCTAAAGGACGAACACTCTTTTGTTCGTATATTCTGACACTAAAAAAGAATTGTATCAGGAGCGCAAAAATTAAAATTGTTTTTTCTGTAAGAAATGTATCAAGATCCCAGAAGTTAAAATCCAATAGGCAATACTTTTCTGTGAATATTCGCCTCTGCTTTGTACAATTTTGGTGAAAAAGAACTAATTGTATACAAAATTCTCCTTACACTAGGAATCAATTGCATCAGGAGCAATTTTTTTAAAATCTTACACCCACTCTAGAAAACCCCCATGATAGTACTTCGGATTGCTAGGTGGTTTGTGATTTTCCGGAAATTTTCATTGAACGCCATTTTTGGATGGGGGAGGGGGGGGGGGGATTCCATACGCGCATATTAAACAGAAGCGCAGAAATGTAAAATCAACTTGCAAATTCTTGTCAGTGAGGTATTCACATGGTACAATTTTGTTAAAAGAGAACTAATGGTATCAGGAAGGCAGACGCAGGAGCACTGAAATTAAAATCAATTACAAATTACTCTCCTGTGAGGTATTTGCCTGGTACGATTCTGTGAAAAAGTACTAATTGTATCACGAGCGCTGAAGGGCGAACACTAAAAGAGAATTGTATCAGGAGGTCAAAAATTTAAATTGTTTTTTCTGTAAGATACACCATTTTCTGGTTGGAACGGAACTGTATCAAGATCCCAGAAGTTATTCGCCTCTGTTTTGTACAATTTCGGTGAAAAAGAACTAGTTGTATCCATATGTTCTCCTTACAATAGAAATGAATTGTATCAGGAGCGCAGAAATTTTTTAAAATCTTTCACCCACTCTTCACTTTTCTTTGAGGCTCCTTTTCAAACCAACTTTACGTTCCTACATATATTCTCTCTACACGTTTTTTAAACATTTCCTTCACACCTAGTGGCCCACTCCTTCCTTTACGCTTCCGATTTTAACGCTTTCTTACACCATTAGCCCTTTTTCTATCACGCTTTACACTACCCTCTTTATGAGCTCTTAGGGCCCATAAAAAACCTATAAGATCATTGGAGAGTCTTTAAATTTCCTTAAGAATATTTTGGAATCTTTTTATTTTTTGTTTTGTGGTGTTTTTATCTGATTGCAGGTTATTGGCAGAGAGCGCCCTTCTGAGTTCAGACGGCCGTGGCCAGAGTTCAAAGCTAGTACTTTAATTTCAACGTACCCCGTGAGATTGGCGTTTGTTTATAAAGGCTTTCGACACAACCGAATTGTAATTACTCTCTTGACCATCTCACCTGCCCACTACATTATCTCTGACCTCAGTTTCTTTCCCACCAGCTTGTCCTGCCTACTTCTACCTAGATAGATAGAGACCAGAAACGTGCGCGAAAGCAACCCCCCTTTAAAAGTTGAGACACTCGGATTTATGCCGAACTCACCTTCAACGTTGTTAATACAAGCACGTGGACTTATTGTTACAACAATTATTTAGGTCATTTAGTACAAAGACAAATGGATCTTAACCAATAGCGAGAAGGATTTCCTTCCAGATAAAAACAGTAGGTACAACATACCCACCCACGCAGTATGTTTCGGAAACCTTATCTTGCGTTTACTAAACCGCACGATAAAAAATTGAATTCTCAGCAGTAAATCAGCGGTGTTTTATTCAGAATGATTACATAATGGATAGGTACCTGTTTGATGTTTTAAAATGGCACCTGTGGGAACTTCTAGTACAATTGCGACTCGGAAAAGTGTTCATTACTCAACCTCGCCTTAAAGTGCTAATAAATAACCCAAAGATTACGTGAGAATTTTGGGACATTTACAAAAATGCATGTGCGAATCCGGATTCGAACCAGGGACCGTTAGTACTGTTCCTGGCTGGGACTTATCCACCCTACTTTACGGCAGACAACAGATTTTAGAATTTCCCCCAAAAAAGTCGATTTTAGTCTAGAATCCGAGGACAACATGGCGACTAAGCGATTATGGTATTAAGTGCCAGGCGAGTTCAAATGGTGTGTGCTCATCCACTCGATCTGATATGGAGTGCACTATCGCACTTCCACTCGACGCCAAACTAACCTACCCTAAGCAGTTTCCAGTTAAAGATCATGATTCCGGTACCTAGTGCATCACAGAGCGCCCCTCGTGGTCAATTACCGAAGCACACTCGTCGTTTGGCCTTTCCATTACGAGGCAGAACTTACGTCCTTTCAATGTAAATTGAGTCGATCGAGGAATGTGACATTTGACCCTTCGACGCCTATAGTAATTTTTTGACGATCAGTTCTGATAGCGACTTTATCTGGGGAGGGAAAAAAACTCCGACCTTGTCCCACAGCGCAAAACGCGCTATCTTATCGAGATTTTGCAGCAAAATAGTACCGCGTTATGTAATCCGGCCAAAAATGGTACTTACGTCAATCTCTTCCTTTTTTCCTTGAGCGTCGTCTGCTCGTCGTTCGACAGCTTAATCCCACCCTGCCCGTCGGAGCGTGCCGGTGGCGGATGCGATTCGACGTGACCATTCTCGGGGAAGGCGTCCCTCGTTTCCGTCTCCTCGTCGACGTCCCCTAGCGTCCACTGGACGCCGTTCTCCACCGGTTGACTTTGCGTTTCTGCCATAACTGTCGACGTCTGTTTCACCCCCTCCGGTTGAGCTTGTTCGGCCGAGTTTTCTGGAAAATTAAAACGATGAGTCTTACTAAGAAAAACGGGGGCCAAAACGCTTGGGTTACCGGGCTCCCGAAGAAATTTGCTTAGAACGAACGAAAACACTGTAAACACTACGGCGACGCACACTATTGGTATCATAAATCGCGCTCTACAATCACAGCCTTTCTACTGAAAAATCGCTCCTAAAGTGACCAGATTACCCTTGCATGACATTCCCGAATCGCTACTAAACAGAACGCGAAGTAGATACTTACACTTAAATTGATAAAGCAAAGGCGATAAGGTTAGTGATCAATTTATGTACGCGTGGTTTTTTATCAACGGTTGATGTTAATCTGCTGCGATGGCAATTGGGAAACGAGCGGCGAAGTTAGCAACGGCGATCAAAAATAGCGCCATGGGTAAGTGCGAGGAGCAAACACAACCCCCTCGCGAAGAATTGTGCATTTTAATATTCTCGCAACTCATACCGCACATGTAGATTCTAAACCGAAGAGTTGTTGTTAGCAGTATACCTTCCCCAGAGACGTGTAACTTGCCCCTTGTGCGTGGTATTCGAGCCTGTAGTAAAGATTCGAGGCTTAGATGTTGTAACTAGTTTATTTACAGTATTCCTCATCCCCGTGACAGTCTCTTCATGGCGAAAAATTTGCACGAATGGTCAAGATCATGTAATGAAAACATAACCATAAATTCAGCAAACTTTTACACCAAAAATGAAAACGACCTGTATTAAGTAACACAAATAAACAACATACTTGAACTGCATGATGCGTTTTCGATGGCCCCTCCAACCAAGATGGCTGTAGCGTAAGAAGCGCGTTGGTGCGCTCGAGACTGCCCAGACAGTTTACCCATTCTAAAAGTCGCGCGGTTGTCAGATCTCAAAACTATGTACATCATCGGAGGTAAAGTGGATTTTTTCGTGGGAATTTTAGCCAAAAGAAACTTAAATTTCTACATTAATATTGAAGAAGTATTGTCCCAAACCTACTACTTCTTTTCATTGGAGGGTATTCGGTATCTAAACCGAAGAGTTTTTGTTAGCAGTGTCGCCTCCCTAGGGACGTGTAACTTGCCCCTCGTGCGTAGAGATTTGAGGTCAGCCTTAGATGTTGTAACTAGTTTATTTACAGTATTCCCCATCCCCGTAACTGACGAACAATTTACACGAATGGTCAAAAGATTAAACTTCGAGTTAAGATCATGCAACGGCGGGTTGATGACCAACCCTGTATAATTAAAATTACTACTGCAATAGACATTAAAGAACCTCAAATCTTTTGAATAAAACTCTTTTTTGATACTTTGTATATTTTCCCCGATAATCGACCGTTATCAGCCACCCTGTATATGGTGATCGATCGAAATTGTACTGAAAACGTACTTAAATTCCTGTTGTCTATAAATATGGGAATATCTGTTTGGGACCTTTAAACTTTTATCGTTTGAATTTGAAATTTCGGATATTCGTCACTACTTGATTCAGTAGAAGGGTACCTATTTCAGTTTAATCTCAAGGAGTTGTTTATCGCTATGGAGCAAAAATGAGATGATCCAAAAAATAGTATAAGCACTTAAATCCTACACTAACTCGACCCTGATCCGCTCGCAGGCATAATTACAAAACGCTATTTTGAGACCTATAATTAGAATGCCTACCATGAAAGATACAATTAATTTCTACCCTCTCCCGCCCCCCGGCCATCTACATATCTCGAAAAGGAGTCGCGCAGGAAAGTTCTAGTTTGTACAAACCAATTCGTTTCGGTGAGACCTATCATTAGAATACCATGAAGGGTAGAACGTGTGTTAACCCCCCCCCCCCTTGGTACCACTTAAAGGCATGCGTATGAATATTCTGGGGGGGGGGGGAGTTGAGACAGCGAAATCTTAAGACCGTCTGGCACACCTTCAAGGTATAGGCTACGTATTGCAAAAAATTCCAGGACTCTAGGACGATTCCCCTAAAAGTAGTGCAAATGCGCAGAAGAGGGTCCGGACGGATGGACAGACGGACGGTCAACGTATTAGGGTCGGCATTGATCTATTGACCATTTTAATCTTAAAGTTCACCGAAATCAGAGCAGATAGTAAGCCTAATCTCAGAATTAAGTTCTAAAGGAACGTGCTCACAATTGCCGAGCGAGCCGAAGGCGAATTCGGCACAACTCCACCAAAGATTGCTTGATTTACTGCGCGAAATGGAGTCTTTAAGTGAAAATCCTTGTGTAAGCATACAGGCACTAAGTGAATATAACCATAGACAAAGTAAGATTAATGTCAAAATTGTGCCGAACTCGCCTTCGGCTCGCTCGGCAATCGCATTAGGCTCGGCATTGATCTATTGATCATTTCAGCCATAAAGTTCGCCGAAATCAGAGCAGATAGGAAACCGCATCTCAGAATTAAGTTCTAAAAGAACGTGCTCACGATTGCCGAGCGAGCCGAAGGCGAGTTCGGCACAACTCCACCAAAGCTTGCTTGATTTACTGCGCGAAATAGAGTCTTTAAGCGAAACTCGTTGTGTAGATATACAGGCACTAAGTGAATATAACCATTGACACAGTAAGATTAGTGTCAAAATTGTGCCGAACTCGCCTTCGGCTCGCTCGGCAATCGCATTAGGCTCGGCATTGATCTATTGAGCATTTTAGCCATAAAGTTCGCCGAAGGAAGCCGAATCTCAGAATTAATTTCTAAAAGAACGTGCTCTCGATTGCCGAGCGAGCCGAAGGCGAGTTCGGCACAACTCCACCAAAGCTTGCTTGATTTACTGCGCGAAATAGAGCTTTAAGCGAAAATCGTTGTGTAGATATACAGGCACTAAGTGAATATAACCATTGACACAGTAAGATTAGTGTCAAAATTGTGCCGAACTCGCCTTCGCCTCGCTCGGCAATCGTATTAGGCTCGGCATTGATCTATTGATCATTTTAGCCATACAGTTCGCCGAAGGAAGCCGAATCTCAGAATTAATTTTTAAAAGAACGTGCTCTCGATTGCCGAGCGAGCCGAAGGCGAGTTCGGCACAACTCCACCAAAGCTTGCTTGATTTACTGCGCGAAATAGAGCTTTAAGCGAAAATCGTTGTGTAGATATACAGGCACTAAGTGAATATAACCATTGACACAGTAAGATTAGTGTCAAAATTGTGCCGAACTCGCCTTCGGCTCGCTCGGCAATCGTATTAGGGTCGGCATTGATCTATTGATCATTTTAGCCATACAGTTCGCCGAAGGAAGCCGAATCTCAGAATTAATTTCTAAAAGAACGTGCTCTCGATTGCCGAGCGAGCCGAAGGCGAGTTCGGCACAACTCCACCAAAGCTTGCTTGATTTACTGCGCGAAATAGAGTCTTTAAGCGAAAATCGTTGTGTAGATATACAGGCACTAAGTGAATATAACCATAGACAAAGTAAGATTAGTTTGAAAATTGTGCCGAACTCGCCTTCGGCTCGCTCGGCAATCGTATTAGGCTCGGCATTGATCTATCGATCATTTTAGCCATAAAGTTCGCCGAAATCAGAGCAGATAGGAAGCCGCATCTCAGAATTAAGTTCTAAAAGAACGTGCTCACGATTGCCGAGCGAGCCGAAGGCGAGTTCGGCACAACTCCACCAGAGCTTGCTTGATTTACTACGCGAAATTGAGTCTTTAAGCGAAGATCTTTGTGTAGGCATACAGGCACTAAGTAAATGGAAACGTTGACAAAGTAAGACTAGTGTAAAAATTGTGCCGAACTCGCCTTCGGCTCGCTCGGCAATCGTATTAGGCTCGGTATTGATCTATTGATCATTTTAGCCATAAAGTTCGCCGAAATCAGAGCACATAGGAAGCCCTATCTCAGAATTAAGTTGTAAAAGAACGTGCTCACGATTACCGAGCGAGCCGAGGGCGAGTTCGACACAACTCCACCAAAGCTTGCTTGATTTACTGCGCGAAATGGAGTTTTTAAGCGAAGATCTTTGTTTAGGCATACAGACACTAAGTGAATATAACCATTGACAAAGTAAGATTAGTGTAAAAATTGTGCCGAACTCGCCTTCGGCTCGCTCGGCAATAGTATTAGGCTCGGCATTGATCTATTGATCATTTTAGCCATAAAGTTCGCCGAAATCAGAGCATATAGGTAGCCGTAAGTTCTAAAAGAACGTGCTCACGATTGCCGAGCGAGCCGAGGGCGAGTTCAACACAACTCCACCAAAGCATGCTTGCTTTACTGCGCGAAATGGAGTTTTTAAGCGAAGATCTTTGTTTAGGCATACAGGCACTAACCATAGACAAAGTAAGATTAGTGTCAAAATTGTGCCGAACTCGCCTTCGGCTCGCTCGGCAATCGTATTAGGCTCGGCCTTGATCTATTGATTATTTTAGCCAAAAAGTTCGCCGAAATTATAGCAAATAGGAAGCGGCATCTCAGAATTAAGTTCTAAAAGAACGTGCTCACGATTGCCGAGCGAGCCGAAGGCGAGTTCGGCACAATTTGGACACTAATCTTACTTTGTCTATATGGTTATATTCACTTGATTCCTTCGTTTAAGGACTCCATTTCGTGCAAGGTTTGAGGGATTTATGCCGAACTCACCTTCGGCTCGCTGGGAAATCACAGTGATGCTTCTAATTTCTGATCATCTCATATTACATTCCGTTGCTTAGCAATAAACAGCTCCTTGAGATTAAGTTTAAGTAGGTACTCTCGCACTGGATCAAGTAGTGACAAATATTCGAAATTTCCATATAAAATCAAAAAGGTTTCAAGGTTATAGCTTTTGCAAATCCTAAAAGCTCGAAAAAGGTCGACTCCAAAAGCTACTTCAGAGGTTTCAGGAACGTTTTATGAGTCCTTAAGAAACCCTAACAGAACACTTAAGAGCCGCCTTTAGTAACCAAAATTGAGAGGTTTTTCTTGGAATTGTTCCAAGGGGCACAATCCCATTTTTGCTGTCTGCTTAAAATTGGCAAATCATCCAACATGCAGCATACCATCTTGGGGGTTAATGGGAAGCAGGACATTATTTAAAAATTTGTGTAAACAAACAAACGGCAACGGCCTTTACCTACCTTCAGGACATGGCCTTTGATGTCCGACAAATTAATCGCCAACGAGGAGAACTCACAAAAAAATGAAAGTTGCGAGCGGCTGTCGTGACGACGTCGTTCCGCCGCATTTTCTATTTACGCACCGGTGACGTAGAAAATTGGGTTATCGAGAACTGACCGCGTGCATCATCGACAAAGGCGACTAATTAGCGATTAGTCGAAAACTCGAAAAAGACGTTCGCGACGCCAAGGTCGGCCAAGGACGCGAGATAAACTCACTGACCTTATTTAATACGCAACAGCCACTTCGATTAATCGCAATCGAACTGCAAGCCAGAAACGCGTCATTTCGGACGTCGAAATTATTTTTGGGCGCCAAGGAGGTGGTGGGGGGTTGAAACTGTGGCGCGAAATGATTTCGCCGGAAGCACAAACACCTCGATAGTGTACTTGACCTCTAAATCATTGATCCGTGCTGACGTCAGCGTAATTAACGCAATACATACCTAGAAGCATTTTTTTTTCGGGCGCACTGAGAAACAGCGACGAGGCGAAGGCCACCAAATTCGCGAACTGAAAAAAAGTGCGCGGTCCTTCGCCAAATTATCCTCGTCAATTGATTCACAATTGTCATTCAGTGCGAGCATGTGGTCTGTTCGAAATTGACCAATCGCTGACCGGTACGGAATCTGCTGACTGTGGTGGTCCAATCGAAACGCGAGCGGTCAGGTGCATGCGCCGATGGGGAAATTAGCGCGCCTGTCACTATCAACGGTTTGCGGTTTTTGGCGCGTCCCATGTGACAGTGGCGTGCGAGGTGTTTGAACCTTGAGCGCGTATTTGCAATTGTAAATAAACAGTATTGTTCACATAAAGCGCGGGGCACTTCCTCCGTTTTTTGTTACCTAAAAAACAATCGAGGAGGTCGCATTCTTGCCATTCTCATTTTATGTTCTCCTAAGACCCAGAAACGGTATAATCAGGACGCAGAAGGTGAAGAACACCTAAAAGCGTCACAAAGTATTACGCAATTAATCAGGAGCACAGGCCTCATACCTTGGTCTTTTTGTCGTATGTTTCCCTGATCCGTCACCTTGGATATTACGAACTGTACCTTGTGCTCTCCTAATTTCAGCAACCTTATCTACAGTACCAGCTACCCAGCCATACCTTTCACGGGCCACATTTAATTAATACGATGCCATTATCGCCCTGTCACTTTCAAAAAAATATTTGAGCCACGATATCACAATATGGTGATGTGTTTGGATATCCTGTCGCCCTCTTCAAAACAAAACATTTTTGGTCTTCTCTAATACCCGAAACAGTGTACAAGAACGTATAAAATGAAGATTGTGTAATAGGAGCGCACGAGGTGAAGTACACATGCATAATGCAGCACCAAAGGCGGTACTGCTGTGCCTTTTGCCAGATTTTAGTAATGTAAACATTAGCCAATATTGGGCAATGTATCAGGAACGTAGGAAATCTCACTAGTACACAAAACACCAAAACTTCTTGCGATAGGACATATTTTCATATTATCCTGATACCAAAACTAAGTTTAATCAACTGTGGAGAAAGGGTACACAAATCCCAGGTAATGCCTCCTGATACCAAATTCTACTAAGGGTGCAGACGTGGAAGAAGTTATTTTTATAGTCTCCTGATACCTACCTTTTTTTATATAAAAACCATTAGAAGTTATATTTGTGTTAGAACATTAAAAACACCCAGCAATATCTCATGTTCGCCGAAATTATGTTAGGAGTACAGAAGTGATCCGACTCTTTACATAAAGATTGTGGCAGGATAAATTTGGCAAAAGCTGAAAAAACGCTTTTCAGTGTTCACATGCCTGGTTTGGTACCTCCTATGACTCATTTTAGTGAGTTTGTGTTCTCCTTTAATACTAAAAACCAAGTAGAATATAAAACAGGCGCATAGGAGGTGAAGGGTACTGGCTGGTACACTGCGGCACTGCTGCAATGCTTTTCTTAATGCAAAGGTAAGTATCAGAAGCACACATCGTAATTGTTTATTACAATATACGGAGCCATTATCGCAACTTAACAGGACTATAACACTTAAATCACATACAGGATATTGCACTATAACAAGATATGAAAAAAGGCGCCTCTGTGATCCTAATACAGTCATTTTCGAACAAAAAATCCGAGGAGAATATAATATGGTATAAGGAAAGGTGTTTTTTTTTCTGGTTTCCTGATAGATCCTTTGGATGCATAGTAGGAGATCAGAAAACTTGGCAAAACAATTATTGTATTTTACGTTTTTGGATTATCTGTTCAAAAGAAAAATGAGTATCAGGGTAACATAATGTTAGATCATTCCTTATAATCTTTATCTTAATCATTGTGCAACATCCTGTGTTGTTGAAGCGTCACTATTTAGTACAAAATCGTGTACCTGGAAGACAATCTGGCAGTATGGTATGGTTTTATTAAACATGCTGTTTCAATAACAATTGCACAATAACAATATTAGGAGCGCAGAAGTGATAAGACGAATTTTCGTACTCTCCTTATACCAAAACTAACTATATCATCGGAACTCGCATTCTCTTGATACCACTTCTTCAATAAAATTTGTGTTAGGAGTACAGAAGTGGAAAGAATTTTCATATACTCCTGATACTAGCAAATTATTATCACGATTCACAAATATACTGAAACTTTTTGAAGAAAAGGCGTGACTGAATACGGTAATCAGAAGAAAAATACTCGACAGTAATTTCTTAACGGTTTTTACTTTCCTGCTTTCCTGTTCAATTGCGATGGAAGAGGATTAGGAGAACAGAAAATGACAGAAAACCATTTTCTTCGTGTTTCCTGTTACATTACCATAAACACAAAAGGTTCCTAATGCCAGAAACGGGCTAACCGGACAATGAAAATCGCGAAACAGGAGCGCAGGAAGTGAAGGCAATATTTTTTCCTGCTTTCCTGTGATGCTACAAGCAGATTTGACTGGACACACTATACAGTGATAATATTTCTTCTTGGTCTAAAAACAGTCATTATTAGAAGAAACATTTGTAGCAGGAGAACATCAACAATATCGTGTTTTCTCATTTAACACCTTTCATTTCCCTGGTTCTGCCATAGCCATTTTTAACTTCCAGAAGAAGACTTTAAAACAAAGGTTGGAGGCTCTTGTTTTTAACACCCCCCTCCCCCTCCCGTGTTATAGCCAACTTGACCCAAGAATATTCGGAAGTGTACTAATAAAACAAAATTCGGTATTCTCCTTTTACACTTATCCTAGCATTCCTGCGATCCTGATACAAACGCCTTTAGATGTTAAATTTGTATCGAGAGAAAAACGGCTCAGATTACGTTTGACGGTAAGTGTTTCCTGTTTTCACCCCTCTGCATTCGTGCATACATGATACATCAGAATCTGCAGATTAGGAGATCAGAGTGTTTCATAATTCATGTTTAGAAGAAAAATTTGTAACAAGATAATGGTTTAAAAGACGTGTAGCATTAAGTGTATCCATAATCTTGTGTTTTCCTAGCTCTACAAACCGGGAAACAAGGACGTAAAAGGTGAAGATCGTAAAACAGGAGGACAGGAGGTGATGTGTATCTTGATGATGACGCAGCACCAAAAGCTGCAATTGTCTTTCTATTGAAAAAACTTGTTAATGTAAAGATTAAGCAAAATATTAAGCAATGTACCAGGAGCACAGAAGATACCTTCATATTTTAATAGTTTGATGTAGAATTTGCAATTCTCATCTAATGTCCGCTCTCGGATTGGATAACTGTGCCCCTAATTCTGAATACACATCGCAGTGCAAAAGTAAGTAATGTCGTATAACGCAACGTAACAGGAGTATATTTGCATCAAGAGAGTGACAGCTTAAAAGGCATTTTTTTTTAATTTCTTTGGTTCCTTACTTTTGATACAGCAACTTGCTAAAAATAAATTTGTTCCGGAAGACAGAATGCGGTAGAAGGTGAAAGACATTTTTCCTGTTTTCCCCACAATGCCTTGTGGCGCTGGAATATTTTTGACTCTTTCTGAATCCAAGAGTGGCGAACATTTTCGTATTTTGTTGATGCCAAAACTTTTCTGTATTAAAGGTAGTAAAAGAGTAGAAAAATACTGATGCCTCATGTTCTCCTGATACCAGAGCTGTTTGAATAAGAAGAATTTTTAAGAGCGCAGAAGCCATTGGACGTTTTTTCATATTCTCCTGATATCAAAACTAAGTTTCATCGAGACTCGCGTTTTCCTGTTTGCCACTTCTTCAATAAAAATTGTGTTAGGAGTGCAGAAGACAGAAATGGCGGCAGTTATGTTCATATTCTCCTGATATCAAACCTTTTTTGGTTCACAAGTATTACTTAGAAATTCCATTTGTAGTAAAAGACAAGAAAATATCCAGTAACGTCTCATGTTCTGTTGTTCAAATGTAATTATATTAGGAATACAGAAATACACCAAAACTTCTGTGATCCTGGTGCAACTGGGTTTATACGTATATTAGAATAACAGAAGAACCTTTCTGACTCCCATACACGAATTGTACCAGGATCCCTTTGATTTCAATATTTTTAAGTGTAAAAGTGTATTAGGAGAACAGAATCTGGCGGAAAACGTTTGTCAATACTGTCTTCTAAATAAATGATAATAACCAAACTACTTATTGCGATAATTTCATACTTAACACATCTCACAAAGTATCTAAATTGATTCGGCTCGAAGGACCAATTGGTACTCCGCGCCACCAAATGATATTTTAATCACTTAATATACTTCGTGGATAGCTTATTGTTTACTTTGAGCATGACTTAATTTCGTAAATAGAAATGCATCAGTTGCGGCAGCTGGTGGCGTTTCAGTTTAAAGAAAAAAAAAGCAATAAAAGTTAAACAAACAAAAACGATAGTTCCCATTACTGTTAATATTTCACGCTCTTTGAACGTCATTGTTTATACTTTCACTACGTCGGACGACTCCACGCTAATTGCGCAAAACTGGCCTACTTGGGAAGGCAAATAAAGCGTTAATTAATTACACTTAAGCCCGACCCAACAAACCATAACGCACGGTATATAGCGTCTAATGTACCTACTTTTTACGACCGCTTAGTCGGAACTCGTCTCTCGAGTGTTATTAAATTATAGAAAGTAGTAAAATTAACATTGACATCGTTATCTGCGACATGAAATATTAATCTTCGCATTATAAACGAACTCGCTTATATAATTTCGGTACGGGGGGGGTTACAAAATCGATAGGCGGCGGATAGAGGTCACCAGGGTAGAGCATTAATTTTT